GAGGGGTCCTTACTCGTTTCGGGGTCCGAACACGGCTTCACAGTGCGCCTACAGGCTGTCCCTAATTTTCCCTGAATTTTTCTCGGGGAACTGAAACGCACTACTGGTACCTGCACGTGTTTCAAAAAAAATCCCAAATTAGGCCCAGGGCCCCTTTTGGCCCAAATCGCAACTCCGGCACGGCGGCTCCGCCGTGCTCCGGCGACGGCGCCGCCGCTGGCGGCGGCGAGTCGCCTCGGGTTGGCTGTTTTCGGCCGTTTTCGGCCGAATTCGGCCACACTCGCATCGGTCCCTGTGAGAAAACAACCCTAGGGCCCTCGGGGGGCCAAAAAAGTCACGGAAAAACGGAGCTTACCGGCGGCGGCGCTCTCGGGTGCGGCGGCTCTCCGGCGAGGTTCGTGTTTTGGTGATTCGGCTCCGGTCAACCTGTAGAGAAAAGAATGGTGACCACGGTGATATAAAAATTGCATCAAACGGAGGCCGGGAAGGGCCTCATCGGAGGCAAAAATCGAGAAGGGGCGCGGCGGCGCCGTTGGGCTTCGGCCGTGTATTCCGGCCGTTTGGCTGGGATTTTGGCTCCGATTTGGCCACAGGAGGAATCAGCGTGGAAAAACGAGTCGGGGGTACGAAATTTACCTCGATCGGCGGTCGGAAGTTCCTTCGGTACGGCGGCCGGCTTCTGGTTCGTCTTCTCCAGCGAGCGGCAGGCGGCTAGGGTTGTGGTCTGGTGTGGGGGTTCTATTTATAACCCCTTGCCCTTTGATCTCAGCCGTCCATTTTGATTTAATCTGGGCCGTCCGTTTTTGATTAAATCTGGACCGTCCGTGCGATTAAATCTGGGCCGTCCGATCGTCCGCTTGATCTGGGCCGTCCGATCGCGCCCACGCGGATTGCCAACGTGGCCCTTTTTGGAACGACGTGGTATTGCCACGTGGCAGGTCCTGGTTGGCCGGGACTGCTGACCGGGCCTGCTGACGTGGCTTTTTTTTTTTTTCCTCCTTTCCGGGTGCTACAGTCGGCATTGCGGATCGAATGAGCAGATTACTTCACAACTGAGAGATATCCTTTGTGAAGGTTATATGACAGAACCACACACCAAGGGAGGCCGCATGGGAACTAGAATCAGACTTTAGAGCACAGTACCCCTAGTTGTTCGATTAAGAGTAAGAGGCAAATTTGAGGGACCAAATTTCTTTTAAGGGGGGGAGAGTTGTAACACCCAACTATTTCTTTATTTATTATTATTATTATTATTTTATTTTATTTTATTTTATTCTATATAAATATAAATAAGTATTAATAGAATTTAATTTAATTTATTTTATTTTAATAGAAATAATAATAATAATAATAATAATAATAAGGGGTAAAAATAATTTAGGGATTTAATTGAAAATAATTTTGGAAAAAAATGGTGAAAATTTGGGTTCTGGGGGTATTTTTGAAAAAAAAATCAGAAATTAGGGGTCAAAATATAATTTAAAAAAATTGTGCTACATCAGCTGCCCGGTCAGCAATCCTGGCCAACCAGGACGCGCCAGGTGGCAGAGACGCTGACGCAGGAAGCCACGCGGGAGGGAGCAACGTGGGCGATCTGCGTGCGCGCGATTGAACGGCTGAGATCCGTTCTCGCGCGCACGGACGACCCAGATCAAAAATGCGCACGGACGGTCCAGATTGAACCGCGCACGGACAACCCAGATTGAATCACGATGAACGAAACAGATTCATTCCCTATTTAATCGCGATCAGACGGTTCAAATTAAAAACGATAGACGGCTCAGATCAAAAAGCGGATGAGTATAAATAACCTCATCCACACCCAAACCTTAACCCTAGCCGCCAGAGCCCCTCGTCGGAGAAGACAGCCCAGCTACCGGGGAGCCAACTGCCACCACCCGCCACTGTACTAGAAATATTTTCGGCAGCCGAACGAGGTAAAACATTCTCCCATCTTGCACGAAATTCAATTTTAAACATACCCATGACCAAATCGGAGTGAAAGAACCGGCCGATTGGCCGGAGAACGCTGTCGCAGGGTGTTTCGAAAAACGCCTCCGATGAGACCCTTTCTGATTCCCGTTCGATATGATTTTTTCATCGTTGTGACCACCGTTTCCTTCTCTACAGGTTGACCGAAGCAAAACACCCAATCGGAACGTGAGCCAGAGGAGTCGCCGCACTAGAGAGCCCCACTGCCAGTGAATTTCAATTTTCTATATTTTTTCGGCCTACCGATGGCCCTAAGTGTGTTTTTTCGCAGGAACCGATGCAAGTTCGGCTGAATTCAACCGAAAACAGCTAACACGAGGTGGATTGCCGCCGCGGGCGGCGGCTCCGCCACTGGATCACGGCGAAGCCGCTGTGCTGGAATTCTGAAATTGGCTGAGTGGGCCCTAGGTCTGATTTTTAGGTTTATTTGGGATACTTGTAGGTACTGTAAGCGCGTTTCAGTTCCCGAAGAAAAATTCAGGGAACCCGAGGACCGCCCGTAGGCGCAGTAACCATCTAGTTTTTGGCGTCGAATCAAGTAAGGACTCCTCACCCTATTTCCTATCATGGAATTGAAGTTTGAATAAATGATAATACTGTATTTTGTACAAATTAAATAAATATGCATAATTAATTACGGGTTGCTAATGGAGCCCGAACCGGACATTATTCTCTGTCGATTCCTGTTTGATTTATTTTACAGTTTAAATGCATTATGATATCTGATTTATCTATTCTATGGTTTTAAATGCATGTATCACTGCTTACTTCACTATTGTTTAATTTTGGGAATCTAAGATATGCTTGCTTTGTTAGATGCACGTTACTTGTTTATGTATTTATGTTTGAGTTGGTAACGGAGACTAAGGACAAATAGGAATGGGATGTGATTTGATAAATGGATAAGATGACAGCTTCATTAGATATCCTGGGAGATGGTGGACGAACCGGGTTCATAGGGAACCCTACCGTGAACGTTGTCTCAGACCGGACAGGGTATGGAGACTTGGTCATTTGGCGCTCATACCGAACGGGGTATTGAGGTTTATTGTTTTGGTGCTCATACTAGACGGGGTATGGGGACGGCCCTGAAATTAAGATTGTTAAGAAAAATGGTTCACGTGTAGCGGGGATCCCCATGGATACTAGTAGACTGGTAAAAACGAGAAACGGTGATAATCAGTTATTGTTAATGAATACGGATTTATGATATGTTTTATGTTATTGATTATGCATGAAATTGTGATCTGTATGATATTACTGCTTCTGTAATTTATTTTCATAAATTCTCCGATGGTAAGAAAAAGGGTGAATGGTTTTATTTTAAATGTATTGGTTTAAATCTACTGCTCCATTAGTTGTTTTAAATTTTCTACCAACCTTTACTTCTGTGACAGTGACTAGTTTGATGTCTTTATTGGGTTAGTGTAACTCATTCTTTATTTAACAATTTCAGATCAGGAGGACCTGGTTCCCGACCCCGATCCATAAGAAGACGGCGAGTAGATGCTAAATACTTTATAATTTCCTTTATTTTTCTCATTTATCGTATTTTCTTTAGAGAATTTATTTCATGATAATGTTTAGTACTTTTAAGTTATTGTGTAAGGGATGTTAAACATAATCTTTTATTTCACTTCCGCACTCAGATTATTATAAGTATTTTCTTTTAAATTTCTGGGTTCGTTACAAAAAAAAATTTTGCGGCTCATTGGAGTTTCCTAGAATAAAAGAGTTATACATATATATATATATATATATATATACTTACAGAGAGGCATATACTTTTTAACACACAAATTTGTATGCTGGAGTACCCATCATTTTATTAATTGAAATTAGAATAAAGAAAATAAACTATGTTTTGTTTCTTTTTAGTTTTTAATTTTCTAATTTTTATTAAAAATAATTAAAAAAATCAAATTAATTTTGAAAATGAAAAAATGCAAAAAAATAAAAAAATTATATAAAAAATAAATTGAATAAACAAAAATAACACATATAACAAAATGATATTTAGACCTACATATATATATATATATATTCCATAGTGTTTATAAAATACTCTTACCTATATATTTATTATTGACAAATATTTTATATATTCATTACTTAAATATTTAAAATATTGGTTACTTTTCATTTTGCTTTTTATATATATATGTGTGTGTGTGTGTGTGTGTGTGTGTGTTTATGTGCTTTCTTCTCCTATATAAATAAGCAGCTTCTCATCCATGGTGTGCACTTAAACTGCAGATAAGCTTAGTGAAAGAAAAATATGGCATCAATATCGGAGGTAGAGAGCTCTGCAGATAAGGGTTTTATTAGCCTTCAAGAACTGGTAAAAGGTCCCATGATAACAATCCCACAAGATTATATTAGGGTTCATCAAGAACCAGTCTCTCATCAACCTACTTTTTTACCAATTATTGACCTGAAAAAACTGCTTTCTACTGATCATCATGTCTCGGTTTCTGAGATTCAAAACCTCCATATAACCTGCAAAGATTGGGGTTTCTTTCAGGTTTCTCTTCATTACTTCTCTCTCTCTCTCTGTCTCTCTCTCTCTCTTTACATATATCACTTATAGTTTTTGACCTCTTTATACGTATATGTTAAGTTTCTGCGAAATATACTGAAATATATGTTAAGTTTCTAAATGAAGAATAAAAAAAAAGTAAAAATGGTAATACTAAGTTATTTTCATATATATATATATATATATATCACTTATCGTATTATTAGATAATAGTTTAAACTTTTGAACGTGTAATCCAATTGCAAAGATCACGTACTTTAAATTAGTTAATAAATATTGTAAGTAGTATTATAAATATACGATGAGATATATTTTTATCTGAATTCACTTAATTTGATTAGTTCGAACCTTATCTAATATATTTTTTTTTGGTTTTATTACCCGTTCAAGTAGGAAGATGGTGAAATTCTTTCTAAACTCGTCTTATTTTCATATCTAAAATTTATAATTTTACATTTTTTTTAATAAATAAAATATAAAACGATATGATAAAAAAAAATATAATAAGTACTAAATTTCTATTAAATTGGTTATATTTTTATAATTTTTCTCAAGGAAATTAAATCTCTTTTCTAAACAATAAAACATTATGTTATTATATATATACAACATTCAAAATTTTTATAAAAATCAACGAATATAGTCTAAATAAAATAGTTAAGTTTGTGTGCTAATAATAATAATATAATAATAATAATAATATATAATGATATTTTTGTGTAGTTAGTGAATCATGGAACTAGTAGTTCTCTGGTGGAAAAAGTGAACTATGAGATTGAAGAATATTTCAAGCTTCCATTTGAAGAGAAAGCCAAGTACAAGAGTAGACCAGGTGATTATGAAGGGTTTGGGAGTGTGGTTCGAGGAGATGGAAAGCACGATTGGGCTGATCGATTCTTTGTCGTAACTAACCCGATTCATAGTCGAAAACCATACCTCTTCCCAGAGCTCCCTTCATCCTTAAGGTCCTTTCTTTCTCTTTCTCTTTCTATCTCTATTTAATGTTTCCATGGGGGCGACTTTTGATTTTGATTGTTCGTTTCAAAAGTATTTTATGTGAATAAACAGGTAAAATAAAAAGTATTTTTAACACAAAATATACTTTTGTCACGATAGAAAGTATTTTTTGTTTTTAATAAAAATTTATAATTAAAATCTCCAAAATTATTTTCACCAAATACACGACTTTTACTTTTTTAAAAAATAATAGTATTTTCTACATTTATTTTTGCCAAATACCAAACAATTTTGGACTATAAAATTTTTAGTGAAAAAATTCAACAGTATTTTGAAAATTCACGACACAAACTTTAGTTTTGTTATTTTTAAATAATATTTTTTCGTTTTTAATGAAAATTTGTATTTAAAACTTTAAAAAATCATTTTCACCAAGCACCCAACTATTACTTTTCAAAGTGATAATATTTTCTACATTTACTTCTATCAGATACCAAACAGTTTTGGACTAAAACTTTTTGTACAAAAAACGTTCAACAATACTTTAAAAATTTACGATACAAACTGTAGTTTCGTTATTTTTAAACAATATTTTGTATTTAAAATCTTAAAAGTTATTTTCATCAAACACACAACTATTACTTTTTTAAAATGATAACATTTTCTACAGTTATTTCTACCAAATACCAAAGACTTTTAGACTAAAAAATATTTCATAAAAAACATTTAACAACAGTTTGAAAATTCGCAATACAAGCTGTAGTTATCCCAAACACCCGCTCAAATATTAATTTTAATTTCAAATACATAAATACTTACATATACATGTAGGTGTTTGCAGAAATATACTAGAGTCGTACTTGGAGAAAGTGCAGAACCTTGGGATGAAGCTTCTAGGGTTCATGGCAGAAGGTCTGAAAGTGGACAAAGGAGAGATGGAGGAGTTGTTTGAAAATGGAATCCAGTCGATGAGGATGACATACTATCCACCATGTCCAGAACCAGAGAAGGTGATGGGAATTACACCTCATTCAGATGCTACTGGAATCACCATTCTTCACCAAGTCAACGGAGTTGACGGACTTGAGATTAAAAAAAATGGAGTCTGGTTTCCTGTCTGCTTCCTCCCAGATTCTCTTGTTATCAACGTTGGAGACATTCTACAGGTTTGTTTATAATTAACTTATCATCTCTTAATAATTTCTTTCCAAACCCAGCACTGAATTATATAAATACTAATAATTAATATATCAAACAAAGGGTTTATCTATATTTGACTAACTTTCATATATATTATTTATATATAAGACATATAAAACAATTTAATCTACAGCTTGTTTTAGAACCATGCATACTGCAATGGACCAGGTTGATGTGGTTCTAAAATCATTTGAGGAAAAAGAATTAATGTAACTGAAAGCTAAGCGAATGAAAAAAAAAAATTCAATCATCTTTTCATTAATCAAATTACATGCACTGTATGTATTCATAAATGCAATAAACTAACATTGTTAGGATATAAGATACATGCAAAGTATGATAATGAAGAGTTCTACTTATAACTAGTATATAACGTTAAATAATAACGAGATTTATTTATCGTTCGATATTTATCTTCTTAAAAAGTATGAGATTGAGATCAGAAATATTATATTATTAAATTTTGTTGATGTAACTCGAGTTTGATTTCAAATAATATTCTAAGCATTTTCATCATATTAAATATTTTAGATATTTCACTATATTAAAATCAGTTTATTTTATTGTAGGAAAACCTAGTATTTTTGCGTATATTAGGGTTTGTAACTTTGTTATTGGATGAACTTTGATTTTTATCGTAATGGAAAAATATTTTCTATGTCTTGTCCGTAAACGTATGCATATTTGTCGAACCACGTAAATCTTATGTATCTTCTTTTACTCTTTACTTTGTATGATTATGTGCAAGATCCGAAATTATTTTTTTCTTAACAATTTTGAATTAACATTATATCTATATTTGTATAAACATTATTTGGTTGAACTTAACACTAGCCAAGCTAGCTATTAGTTA